AGAGTGTCAGAAGCACGCCGCTGTGAGTGGTGAGCGCTCTCCCCCGGGGACGAGCCGAGTCCAGCTTCGCTATTCCCATCGAATGAGTTAGCGCAGCATCCGACTCGTGATCGACACCGCTGTGGGGGAAAGGGCCCACATCTGCGTTAGGCGGCATCCCCTGGAAGGTGAGGACACCAATAACCAGCATCGTTGACCTGGGATGTCCCCAGCTCTTGTCCAGGGTTCTCGCATTCTGCACGGGCTCGCTCGATGGTTGGCCTCCAGGGGGCGCTCGATCCACCAGGAGACACTGGCTCCTGGGGAGACTCAGGCAGGGGCGCGGCCGCTGTCCGCGGTGCTGAAACCGGGTCCCGACGTAGCTCAGGGACGCACCTCCCAGCTCTGCGGAAGGGCCTGACCTCAGAAGCTCCTGGCCCGAGTTTGGAGCCAGGAGGGGCACGGTGTGGAGATGGATGGACTGGGGGTGAGGAGATCCGACCATCCGGAGTGGAAGGGGCTGGGCTCCTTCCTGTTCCATGTGCCCGCCCTCCTGGTCACTGTCGGGTGTTGCCCCTCTGAGGATGGTGTCTGTCTGCCCCACCTGGCTGAGCCACAGGCGGGAGGACGTGCTTGCGAAGGCTCTCCGACTGCCGCCCCAGGACGGCTCCCTTAGGGAGCTCGCTTCGTGCCAGCCTCCCCACCGCAGACAACACGAGCAGCGCAGGGAGCTTTCCCGCACTCAGCCCCTCCCCCAGCGAGACATCCCCCCACGGCCGCCGCTCTCAAGGATTTGCTTCCAGAGGGAGGTGGTCAGGAATGTCCACGACCTCACCTTCGTCACACTGTTCTCTCAGCCCCCGACCCACACACACCTCGGCCACATCCCTGCCATCTCCTGAAAACCTGCTGGCCCGTCTTGCCGTTCCGCACTTAATTCACCTGGTTCCCCCTCCCTGTCATAATGTCCCCTTTCTCCACCTTTGCGGCACGTGCGTATCCTCTGCGACCCAGCTCAGAAACCACCCCCTCAGACAAGGCACGTTCGCTGCCTGTCCACCCGTCCACCGCCGCCCCTCCCACCGCCGGGTTGGGGCCACGGCCTATCGACCTCAGTGCTGTTGATGTTGGAGCCGAGTGGGGTTTTTTGTTTTGGGTGGCGGTGAGCTCTCCTGTGCATTGTAGGATGTTAAGCCGCGTCCCTGGCCTCCACCCTTGAGATGCCAGGAGTGTCCCCTGCCCTGTTTTGACAACCACTGTATCTCCAGGCATTTCCAAATGTCCGTGGGTGGAGAGCCTCCCCGGTTGAGGACCACGGGGTTCGAGCCCCCGGCCTCTGCCTTCACAGGGGCACTGTGGCAGATGGACAAACGTTCTCTACTTCTTCTTTTCAAGGCCACCGCAGGAACCTTCCTTCCCAACTTGTTTCAAAACAAAACTGTATTTCAGCTCCTTTGCATCGCATTCATGAAGGAAACATTGGGAAATCCCTATATTTCTCCCCATTTTCTTGTTCTCCAAACTTTTACTGCATGTCTAGTATATGAGGGAAACAGTAAGAGGAAGAAGACACAGTTCCTCCCTCAGGGGAGCTCGAGTTCATGGTTTGGGGTTTGGGGAAGAGACATAAATATGTAAACTATTAAAGCGCAATGTGATGAGGTTTCCATGGCCTGGAGGTCCAAGGACAAGAGCTCTGACCTCTGTCTCAGGGGTGGAAAGGGAGTGAGAAAAGGCTTCTCAGGAGAAACTCCTTTTGAGATGCACTATGAGGGTGAAGCAGGAGTTGGCCAAGCAGAGACGAGAGGGAAAGCATCCCTGGCCGTGGTAACATCAGGCACAGAGCAAGGAGCTGGGAGAGGTCCTGGCAGCCGACTGGGCAGGAGCAGTCGGTGTGCAGTAGCTGGGACCTGGGGTAAGGGAGGCAAGGTGGGGCCATGCCCTGAACGTCTGTCTGGGGTCCGCTCTCCAAAGACATGTAGCCCCGCAGAGGAGGCTGGGCTTCAGTCTTCAGTCTGTCATGTAAAAAATACATCTGGATCTAGATAAAGGGAGACTTTATTCAAAAGGATCATTGCAAGCCCTGGCAAGTGGCTTAGCTGGTTGCAGCATCGTCTCATACACCAGAACATTGCAGGTTCGGGTCCTGGTCTGGGCACGTATCAAGTTTACAAGCTTGGGAGGCATCAACCAATGTTTCTCTCTCTCTGTCTCTCTGCCCCACCCTTTCTCGAAAATCAATTAAAGCACATCCTCAGGTGAGGGTTTTAGGGAAACGATCATTGCAATAAGAAAAATGAGATTATTGCAAAGAGGGGACGGAAACTATCACAATAAGGGAAGACCGGCTCTCCCATGGCAGGTATGGGACAGCCTACAATAAGGACAAGGATGGAAGGAATGCAGAGACCCCATGGAGCCTGAATGCTATGGACCATATTAGGTTCCCCCAAATTCATACGTACAAGCTTTATCTCCTGACATGAATGTTATTTCAGAATAATTGAGATTAAAGGAGTTCCTGAGGGTTCCCCTTCAGGTTGATGGCCTTATAAGAAAAGAAAGAGAAAGCAATCTCCCCTTTCTCTCCCCACATGCAAAAGCAAAAACAAGAGAGAAAGAAAAGGCCAGGGGAGGACAAAGAGAAGACAGGCACCAGCAGGCCTTGGAGGTGGGCTCACACCAGGAAGCAGATCTGCCGACACCACAAACGTGGACTTCCCAGCCGTTAAAACCGTGAGAAAGGCATCTGTTGCTGGAGCCGCCCAGTCCCGGGCACGTGGTTCCGCAGCCCTGAGCTGAGTTCCCAGTCGACCTGCAGAACCACACAAGCAGGCGCGTCCAGGCCTCCCACGGGCACCGGAGACCGGCTCCCTGCAGACCCTCCCCCCAGAGCCCGACTCGTTTCTGCTGCTCCCGAGAGAGCAGTCCTTGCGGGTGCAAGAGGTGTGGTCCCTGCCCCCGAGCTGTGCCCGCAGGGGACTCACACTGCTGTCAATCTCATTGGCTCCGTGTGAACTGTCACGAGCTCCACCCTCACGTGACCCCCTGGTAGGAATCCTCCCTCCCCGATGGGGTGAACAGAAGGTGATCCAAATATCCCAGGGTCACGTCCTGGGTCCCCTCCAGCCCTCAGAGGGCCGAGTGTGGAGGTGCCTGGGTGGGGGCTGCTGTACGAGGGGAGCTCAGCTTTCGAGTGTGGCATTTGCTGGCGCCCCGATGTCCCCGTGTCTATGTTCCAAGGGGCATAGGCGGCTGGTGTGCAGGCTGCCCCTGGTGGGAGGTGAGAGAGAGGCCGGGGAAGGGGGAGGAGCTAGTCCAGGCCGGGGAGGCCTCAGCTCAGCTGGGACGGGAGACCCCACTGCCTGCTTCCAGTCACTTCCCTGAGGGTAGCCAGTCTCCAGATTCCCGACACCAAAGATCAGTGCTGTCTGTTTCTGGACCTCCTGTCAGCGGTGTCCCGTGGCACGGGCTCTTTGGGTCTGGCCTTCTTCCTCAACGTGTTTGTAGGGTTCACGCTTATTGTGTGGAGCTGTTCTTTGCTTCTGTCACTGCACAGATAACCTGCAATGTGTGGACCTGCCGATGGGACTTGGGGGAGGTCCCACTGCTCAGCCATCCCAGGGAGCGCTGCGGGGACACCCTGGTGTGCGGCTCATGGGCGTTTGCAGGCAATTCTGTCGGGTTCGCCCCCCGGAGGGCAATGGCTGGCTCGAACGCGCAGTGTTTCCCAAGTGGCTGTCCCAGCTCCCCTTCCCTCCAGCAGGGTCCCAGGGTTCCAGTGGCTCCCCATCCTAAGCAACACTTCATTGTCTTTAACTTATTTATTTTTGGGGGGATAAAGCATACACAAGATATTTTCTCTTTTAAACATTCTTAAGTGTACAATTAGTGAATACACTCACTCTGTGCAACCATCACCGCCGTCCATCTCTAGAGCTTCTTCATCCTCCAGAAATGAAATTCTGTCCCCTTCAAACACTAACAGCCCCCCCCCTCCCCCAGCCTCAAGCCCATGGTAACGACTACATGTTACTTTTATTTATTGTGGTTTAAAAGCATGAAATGCACAGCTGTTCTAAAGTGCACGGTACAGTGGTGTTGACTCTATGCACGTGGTTGTCCATCATTCTCTAGAATATCCTCATCCTGAAAAACTGAATCTCTGAAGCAACTTCCTATGTTTCCCTTCCTGGAGTTCCCTGTGTCCTCTGTTTCTAAGAGTTTCCTGACATCAGATACCATGTGTAACTGGGATCAAGCAGGATCTGTCTTTCTGTGACTGGCTATTTTCCTTTAATGCAGTGTTCTCAACACGTGACCTTTGTTATATTCCTTTTAGTATTTTCGCCAGTGCGGTGGCTGGGCAGGCACAGAGCGCGGCAGTTTCTGTTTGCTGTTCCCTGTCAGCTGCCCTCCTAGGTGGTCATTGGCCCTTTGAACATCTCGTGTTTCTATTGGTTTGTCTGCCTTTTTCTTACTGACTTTTGGAAGATCTTCGTATACTCTTTATATACTCTGGATGACTCCTTTGTTAGATACATGTGTCGGGAAATAACTTCTCCTGCCAAAGAGCTACATTTAGAAAAAAAATATTTTTAAAATAATACCTGTTCATGAAAATACTCAAACAAACAGAGGATAGAGGTAGAGCCAACACTGACAACTCTCTCTGGTGAGGTGAGCTTACTACATTTCGATGGACTTAATGCCAGTGGGGCATGTTTGCTCCCTTAACAACGTACCTAATCAAATCATCCCCCATGTTACAGAGGGGGAAACTGAGGCATGCAGAGGTAGTGACTTGCCTGGTGTAATACCCTCAGTGAGTAGCTGAGCCGGGATTGGAGCGCAGGAATCTCTGTGGCTTCAGCCACTCGAAGGAACGTCGTGGAACTTCATGTCTCCATCCATGACCTTTGGCTCAGAGGGCTGTTCACTGTTTAAGAATCGGTCCCTGACACACCTTTCTTCTCAGAGATTCCTTTTCTGGGCTCCAACAAGTGCATGTGGGCGGGGGTGCGTCACCATTTCTGGATCGCGATCTCAGAGTACAGGGTGGTCTCCTGGGCCTGAGGGTCCTGTGGCTTCGTGTTGGGGAGATGGAGAGCATTGTAATAGAGCTCACGCTCTGAGTCGGAGGCGGCCACCGCCGGGGGCAGGTCGGGGGCGGAGGGGGCATCCAGGTGGCTCTGCGTGGGAGGAGAGAAGGGCGTCTGAGCCGGGCTTTGGGTCTGCAGAGGGGATCGTGGGAATTCAGGGGCTCTCATTCCTTTCTCCATTGCACACGCATTTCCCAGGCCTTCACTTACACAATCATTCATTCATTCACTCAGTCATTAATCATTTAGTCGTTTGTACCATTAAAACATTTGAACCACGATAGCTTGTTCTCATTACTAATCTCACTTAACTCTCATGACCTCTCTCCATGTTACCCCTGTTTTACAAGAAAAATAGCTGATCTTCTGTTCCTTTCTACTATTTTAACACGAATACAAGAAAGTTCTCAGTCACACATATTTTCCGTATCCCATTTCTGTGGGAGTCGCTGGTGTAAACAGCCAGGAAGATCACAGGTGTTTGGGGATTGTTGGGGGAAGGGAGGTGGGTCAGGGACCCCAGAGAGACAGTGGGGGGTTGGCAGGGGAGGAACCAATGGAGAAAGGCTTTGCTACAAGGGAACTGGGACAGGACTGGGTCAGTCACTGGCTTGGGGATGCAGGAGAAGACAATTCTCAACCCGAGGGGCTGTGCCAGGAAATGGGGGGAGGACCCAGTCAGGGGGAGATGAGGACCGCCTCTCTTCACCGTAGGGACACTGGGCGGAATACTGCCCACATCGCTCACCTGGGACACGCCGTCCTGGCTCTCTGCGCTCTGCGGGCTGCCTGCCCGTTTCTTGCTGTAGATCCTCCATCTGAGGAGAGAGACAGGGCCCTTCAGCCCAGCAGGCTCTCGGCTGGGAGCCTGGAAGGGGTCACCGAGGCAGGACGTGGGGGCTGCCGCCCGGCGGAGGGACCGCGACAAGGACACACGTCCCTCCTCCCAGACGGCTGGGACCCGACGTGGGGAACACAGGCCACACCGGGCCAAGGTGTCAGGAGGCGAACTTCCTGATGCCGCCTCAGCGTTGCACCTCTTCCTGGATTTGCCACCTCGTCCGGGCTCTGGGCGTTCATTTGGGAGAATCTTCGAGTCCCCGCCCACACCCCCCAGCACCTCCTCCGGAGGCCTCGCCCAGCCTGGGGGCTGCGCTCACTCACAGGATGAGGCCGAGGCAGACAGCGAGCAGGGCTGTGGCACCAGCTCCCCCGAGAGCCCCCAGAATCACTCCCGTCCTGTCTGCTGGTCTCTCTGCAGGGACGAGACACCTGGGTGAGCGCCTGTTCCCTAGCAGACACCTGAGCATCCGGCCTCCTGCCATCCCTGCCGACGAGCTTGCCCTCGTCCATCCAGGCCTCCTTGGTCCCCACCCCTTCGTATGATGGCAGCCTCGAGGCTCCCAGCCCCCTCCCCTGGCAAGCGCATCAGGGCCTGGCCTCCAGTCCCCTTGGCCCTGAGTCAGGCCACTTCTGTCCCACTCAGTGTCTTCCAGGTCCGCGGCCTGTGCGCCCCTTCCCTGGGGCTCCCCCCGCCTCACCCTGTCCTGGCAGCAGCAGGACAGTCACGGCCTGTCTCCCGTGGGCGTTCTGGGCCTCGCAGCTGAGCCTGAGGTTGGAACTCAGCTCCCCACGGAGGCTCAGGGAGCTGTTGGCCCAGGGCCCCGCGGGGTGCGTGGTGACCGCGTGGGAGGCGTTGCTGTGGTTCCCCTCCAGCAGCGTCTCCCCCAGCCGCCAGCGCAGCGAGGGGGCCGGCTGGGCTCGGGAGGAGCAGCTGCAGCGCAGACCCTGGTCCTCCCGCGAGCAAGAGGGTCCCAGCAGCTGGGGGGCGTCTGTGAGGGGAAACAGGAGAGGGGTCAGAGGAGCCCGCAACCCAAGGGCCCTGGCCCAGGTGTGTTCCCGCTCACTCTTCACCAGGAGGGTCAGGGAGGCTCCAGGGAGGCCGACCTGTGCTGCTGAGCTCAACAGACGGACGTCCCATGGCCCCCTGGTTCTACCTGGGGCTGCTCAGGACACCGTAATATCCTTCACGCAGACCCCACACGCCAAACCCTGCACCATCAGGGACCAGTGTCCTTTCCGGGTACTCACAGGACACATTGAGCAGGATGGTCCTCTCGCTGATCAGGTCATCTTTCAAGGCCACCCGACAGGTGAGGTTGGTGCCGTGGTCCTGAGGCTGCGGTGTGAGGGTGAGCACTGAGGAGTTCTGAGTCTGGGGACCCAGGGGGGTGCGGTTGACCCCCGTCCAGGACAGCTGGGGTGGTGGGTCTTTCTTACAGTCCCATGACACTGTACAGGTAATGTTCTTGGGGTGGCCAGATTCCAGGGTCTCCTGGAGGTGGATGTCAGGTTTGGGTGCCGGAGCTGGAGACAAGAGAGGCCACGGCCCAGGCCCTGGAGGTCGGGTCTCTGCGTGTGCCCCTGACTGCAGCCTCTGTGCCAAGCCAGCCCCTGGGTCCCGTCCCCACCGGTCACCCTGAGTCCATCCCAGGAAGAGCAGAAGGGGCTCCTTCCCAGCCCAGGATCCCAGGGCACCCAGCCACGCCTCCTCACCTTGAACCGTCTTGCTTGTTACATTTACAAAGAGCAGGTTCTCTTTGTAATTCTCCTTCACACAAGTCCCTCGCTCCACCCTAAAGAAGTATCTCCCTGTGTCGCTTCTCTTTGCGTCTCTGATGTGCAAGGAGCAGTCATAGGTCTGGGGATCCCCAACGAGGTGGAATCGGTCCCTGGTCTCCGCCTTCACTGTCCTGCTGGGGTGGTTCGTGGCCACAGGCTTCTGCTTGTTTGTGTCGTCCCCTTCCCGGAACCAGTAGCCGTGAGCTGGGGTGGAGTCAGTCCAGCCAATTCTGGGGTAGGACACAGTGCAGGGCACGGAGACGCACTGGCCCGCCTGCACCGTCACGGACTCCTGCACCTGCAGCTGGAATCCCGGACCCTGGGCCAGGGCCCCTGCGGGGAAAGGCACGTCAGCCGTTGCCCCCGCCCCAGGTCACACGCCCTCCCCGGGGCCACTCACCGGCCCACAGCAGGGGCAGCAGCAGCAGCGGCAGCATCTCGGGGCTAAGTGTCTGCAGCCTCAGCGCCGCTGAGCGGAGAGGAAGCCCCAACCGGAAGCCGGGGGGACGTGAGACAGGCGATGATCTCGGACGAGGAAGTGGGCCGTCCCTGCGGCCCGGCGGCCCGGCCCTCGGAGAGGAAGCGCTTCTACTTCCCACGCTCCAGATGGGTTCCCGTGACAGCCCCACGCGCTGAGGAGGACGCGACCCACCGCTCCTGGTCCCTGTCCTCGTTGGTCCGTCTGGCGCTGCTGCCCACACAGGAAAGCAGGCGCTGCCTGGCCAGGCACGGCTTCTGTGTGAGACGGAGGATCCGTCCCTCGCGTGCGGGACTCAGGAGGGGCGGTGGGGGAACGGCGAGGCGTGGAAAGTGACGTAGGTCCTCTGGGTGACACAGGTGGTGAGGGACGGATGAGTGGACACACGGCCCATCGGGGCTTCTACTCCCTCGGGGGCGCGGAGTCAAAGGGGAGACTGTGGCAGTCTTCGTCCCTGTCCCTGAGAGTGTCCCAACACCCGAAGTGGCAGAGGGGCCCCAGGCCATGCCACTGCCCGGTGGTCCTGGGCCTGTTGATGGGGGAACTGGCCGGGGCTTGTAGGAAACCCGGTTGCTCTGGGCAGCGGACGGTGAGCTCCCCGGTGTGAATGGCCGGAGCGGACAGGACCGAGACTCCGAGGGGGTCTCCAGCCTGTGACCCCACAGGTGGTCCTGGGCCTGCTGGCTTGATCGCACCCCTGCCCTGCTGTGTCCGCTCCTTTCAGGTGTGTCCACTTCTCTTCCCCCCTGCCCTGCCGCCAGGTCTCAGTCTTTCCAGAGGTGGAGAGATGGTCCCACCTCCCTGTCCGTCCCCCAGTGGCTGGTCTGAGTGTGCACACAGCCGCAGTTCCCGCCCAGGCCAGCAGGGGGGTGATGAGGCCTCGGGGCGGGGGAGGGGGGGTGATGAGGCTTCGGGGGCTGCTGGGGCTCAGGCCCAGGGTCTGGGGGGTTGGTGACATCACATGGCACAGGGTGGCTTCTCAGAATGAGAAGGTCACTGATAGGGCAGAGAAGGATTTGGAATCCGGAGCCTCCCTGGCCTTTTCCTCCTGCGGGGGTGTTGGGTCTAGTTGGCCTGAGGACCAGGCCTGAGTCTTCGGAGGGCAAAGCTGCCCATGTGGGCACCCAGGGGGCTGAGGCCTGCCGTGTGTATCTGTGTGTGTGTGTCCTTCTGAAGCGTTTGTGCGTTCGTGCCATGTGTGTTTTACATAAGTTGTGTGTGTATATCTGAGTCTGTGTGTGTCTGTGTTGTTTCTCTATGTGTCAGGTGTGTCTGCGTGTGTTGTTGAGGAAAGTATGGGCGCATGCATCTTTGTGTGCAAGGTCATGTGTGTGTTTGCGGTCTCTATGTACGTGTCAGAGGAGTATTTCCGGGTGTGTGTTTGGAAGAGTGCCTGTATATGGATGTGTGGGATCTATGTGTGCATGTGTATATGTGTCTGTGAACTGTCTGCGTGTATATGCATACCTGTGTGCCTGTGATCTCTGGGTGTGTGTATGTGTATATTTGTGTGTGTCTATGATCTCCGGGGGTGAGCGCGCCTCTCCGAGTGCTGCGTGTGTCTGTGAAGCACCTGTGGTGAGCGCACATGTGTGCACGCTCAGACATCAGCTTCTCAATAACATCCACAAACCACACCATGAAAAAGACATTATGTCCCATATTTTCTACGTAACTCTCCTGCTTTGTTTTCCTCCAGGCTCTTCCTCACCAATCAATACAACATATCATTCTACTTAATTCTATTTTGCCTGTGTTTTCTGCCATTAAAATGTAAGTTTCATGAAGGGTCTAGTATCTGTTCTTACTGGTGATTGACACTGCTTTGGAACATGCTCGGCATATATTGGGTGATCAATCAATATTTGTTTAATAATGGTAAGGAAATTAGAATAGGCCAGAAGGAGATAGCCGGCTTCCCGCAACGGAGAACTCTGCATCCTTTAGAACACACACTTCCAGGGCCGTGTGTCTGCTTGCGGCCCTCAGGTGCCTTTGAACTGTGTTACACTGCTGTGGTTTACGGACAACTGGCAACCATGCAAACAGTTCTATCCACGGACACACAGAGGCCCCTGTCGTCTGGGGGTCACTTGAGTCCCCCCACCGGGCCGGCTCACATGCATTGTCACCTCACTTCAACATTCACGTTCTCCACGTGAATCCGTGCTTCTTCCCTTTCTGCCTGGTCCTCTCAGTCACGAGACAAATAAACTGGGAGCTGCTGCTGATCAGGTGTGAAGTTTCAGGTATGCGAGCTGAGAAAGTTGTGGGCGCCGGCACACAACACAGTGCCCGTGGTTGGTAATACCGTGCTCTTAAATAATTGCTAAGACAGTAGATCTGCCCTGACTGGTGTGGCTCAACGGGTCTGTGTCGTCCCGTGAAAAGAAAGGTCACCGGTTTGATGCCTGCTCAGGGCACATGGCTGGCTGGCGGGTTCCGTCCCTAGTTGGGGCGCGTGACAGGTGACCAATCAATGTCTCTCGAGCACATCAATGTTTCTCACCCCTTCTTTTCCCCTCCCTTGCCCTCTCTCTAAAGATATATAAGTAAAATCTTTTTCTTAGAAAAGAAGGTAGATTTGCTATTAAGCACAGTAAAAAATCTTTAACAATATTTTGTATCTGTATGAGGGCCATGTTATTACCTTAATTTTTAAAAATAGATTAGATGAAGACATGCATGCGCGTCTGTGTGCACGGGTTGGCGTTTTGGTTTGCGCCATGTTGTCAGCATTAGCGACCAATAAGCTGACTGAGTGATAATCCGGGACCGTGTTATATGGTTTTGTCTCTTTCCTTTGGGCAACTGGGGAAAGATGAAACCGGGGAAGTAGAAAAATGACAGCGTTGGGTTTCAGAATGCACCCTGGCGTCTCTATGGAGGACGGATCGGAGGGGGCTGAGAGCGCTGAGAAGCCGAGTGTCCTTGGCTGTGTGTCTGGGTCCCCGCTAGGGAAAGGGAGTCCTTGGAGGCAGGGACGCGCCTCTCTCCACGGCCCTGTGGACCAGCTGTGCGCTCGGCGCTGAGCCGCACGGTGGTGACAAGGACGTGCCGAGCGACAGCCTTCGCGGGTCCCCGTGAAGCCGTCGCACAAGCAGCAGAGTGTTGCGTAAGGTTTTGCTTTGATTTTGCCGAAGAGAATTCCTTATCGGGTTTCCTTCTCCTTGGATCTACTCACTGCCAACCAGAGGGAATAGTTGGGAAGACCTGACGGGAGAGGTGACCAGGACTTGGTTTCTCTGTGTGAGTCAGGGCCCACGCGGCCGAGTGCTTCCCGAAGGTGCAGAGGTGGGTTAGGGGTGGCGGGAGGGGGACGGGGCTCTCTGTGCCTGGCCCTTTCTTTCCGGATCCTGTGTCCAGGGTCTCCCCCGGGTGCTGAAGGGGAAAGGAGCTCAAGTTTTTCTCATGCCTCCTTTTCTAGAAGCGCCCAGCCCTGCCAGGGAATACAGGAGGGAGGTCAGCATCCGATTCCATGCTGGCCCTGTGGCTGAGCAGCTTGTGAGCTGAATTCCAGGGTTTGGGGGAGTCAGATAAGGGGTCGTGTGGGGGGCCTGATGCCTTGAGGTCGTGGCTGCTGGAGAGGCCACAAGGGAGGAGGAAGCAGCCCCCCCCGTGGGCTCTCCTGAGCTGAGTGCGGGCTACAAGGAGAGGCACGTACAGGGAAAGGCTGGGGGGACTTGAAGTTCCTCTTTCCAGCCCTTTCAGGGCCCACACTTCCTGCTACTTTTTGACGGTGGGACCCAGGCCAGCCCGGGCTGCTACCTGCAGGAAGTGTCTGGGCAGAAGCTGGAGTGGCCTTGAGGTGGCTGAGACCACCCAGCGACAGACCAGAAGGCTCCAGACAGAACAGTGTGAAAACCCAGAAAAAGGGAAAGCCTTTCCTGTACTGTAAGAGTGACAATCAGCCAGATGGGGAAAGTTGGAAAGCATGCGGGGAGGTATCCGGCTGGCCGGGGGGACCGATGCAAAATTAAAGCCAAACCTTACCTCTCCTAAGGTCGGGAACAGCTGCAGAGTGTCAGAAGCACGCCGCTGTGAGTGGTGAGCGCTCTCCCCCGGGGACGAGCCGAGTCCAGCTTCGCTATTCCCATCGAATGAGTTAGCGCAGCATCCGACTCGTGATCGACACCGCTGTGGGGGAAAGGGCCCACATCTGCGTTAGGCGGCATCCCCTGGAAGGTGAGGACACCAATAGCCAGCATCGTTGACCTGGGATGTCCCCAGCTCTTGCCCAGGACCCTCGCATTCTGCACGGGCTCCGCTCGATGGTTGGCCTCCAGGGGGCGCTCGATCCACCAGGAGACACTGGCTCCTGGGGAGACTCAGGCAGGGGCGCGGCCGCTGTCCGCGGTGCTGAAACCGGGTCCCGACGTAGCTCAGGGACGCACCTCCCAGCTCTGCGGAAGGGCCTGACCTCAGAAGCTCCTGGCCCGAGTTTGGAGCCAGGAGGGGCACGGTGTGGAGATGGATGGACTGGGGGTGAGGAGATCCGACCATCCGGAGTGGAAGGGGCTGGGCTCCTTCCTGTTCCATGTGCCCGCCCTCCTGGTCACTGTCGGGTGTTGCCCCTCTGAGGATGGTGTCTGTCTGCCCCACCTGGCTGAGCCACAGGCGGGAGGACGTGCTTGCGAAGGCTCTCCGACTGCCGCCCCAGGACGGCTCCCTTAGGGAGCTCGCTTCGTGCCAGCCTCCCCACCGCAGACAACACGAGCAGCGCAGGGAGCTTTCCCGCACTCAGCCCCTCCCCCAGCGAGACATCCCCCCACGGCCGCCGCTCTCAAGGATTTGCTTCCAGAGGGAGGTGGTCAGGAATGTCCACAACCTCACCTTCGTCACACTGTTCTCTCAGCCCCCGACCCACACACACCTCGGCCACATCCCTGCCATCTCCTGAAAACCTGCTGGCCCGTCTTGCCGTTCCGCACTTAATTCACCTGGTTCCCCCCTCCCTGTCATAATGTCC